TTTTCATCTCTACAAAGTCAGTTTTGAAATTTGCTTCTGCAGCAGTCTGATGGCATCCTGGTCCTCATCTGAGATGCAGCTAAATTTCCCTGCAGAGAAGTGATTTTTCTAATCATCCAGCCACACTCCCCCCTCCACATGGTTCCCATCACAGCCTCTTCACACCCAGATCAATGTCCATTTCTTTAGTAAGTGTGTAATAAGCACTTACCAGGTCACAGGGCTGTGGAGTCCTGAGATGACCCTAATGTGATGATCTCAGAGTCTAGCTGAGAGGAATTCAATGAGAACAAGTCACAGCAACCCTAAAGCATCAAGAAAAACACCAATAAGGGAACACTCAGGCACATAAAACAGTCAACTGAAAGAAAATAGCAAGGGTAGAGAAGGGTTCAGAGGCAGGGGCGCCTTGGCACACCCCTGGAGAACTGTTGGATGCTATCAACGTGCAGAGGAGAAGGAAGAAGTCTCCACAGAGACAACATTAGACAAATGCTCCCTATCAATGTTTTGATCCTATTCACTTGTCTCCCCATCTCTTCCCACATCTCCCTTCACACCCAACTTTGTGTATTTTCCCTTCTCATCAATACCAATCTGTGTGCTGCCCAAATATTCCTGAATTTCTAGTCTTTCACTGGACTTTGACCAACTTATAAGACTTTAAGAGAAAATTGATCCCTTCTCATCCAGCAGCTAAAAATTGCCAATAGTGCATAAGCTGGGGATGGGACCTCATATCCAACTCCCCAGTCCATGCTAGGATAGGGTCTGGCTTGGGATTGTGTAAGTCTTGTGCATGCTGTTATAACCCACTGTGAGTTTATATGTGCAGCTGCCTTGCTGTGTCCAGAAAATATTATCTCCTTATAGTCATCCATTTCTTACACTTTTCCATTCCTTCCTCAATGATCTATAAACCTTTGGATGAGACATGTGAGGTATATATGTTGCATTTAGGGCTGAGCATCCTGCATTCTCCTATTTTCTGTACCTGGGCCAGTTGTGGGTCTCTGTGTTGATTACCATCTACTGCAAACAGAAGCTCTTTGGTTGGTGGTTGAGAGATATGTAAATCTATGGGTACAATAATAATCCATTAGGAGATAGTTTAATAGTATGTCCATTTAGCATAAATAATAATAAAATAATAATAATAATAATAATAATAATAATAATAATAGGTTCTCTCTTAGAGTCTATGACCTTTCTAGCCATAGATTCTTGGTGCTACTATGAGTTTCATCTTGTAGAATGGGCATTAAATCCAATTGATTGGTTACTCACATGACATTTGTGTCACTTTTGCACCAGTGGGCATGTCTAGAGTTGCTTTTCAGCTGTCCTCAGGTTATGCCCTGGAGACTCTTGCCAACCATGCCCAAGTGTACTCCATCATCTTCTCTGTCCAGTGGATTTGTTTTATCCAGTTTTACATCCTTATCACCTAGCAAAGGCATATAGTAGCGCATGTAAAGAGAGGGTCCAGTTTTCTCAACTGTCCCAGCTAAGACAAGATCCAAGGGATCCTCCACCAGATTCCAGCTATGTTCACAGGTCCAAAAGGAAGAACAGAACTGCCCAACTGATTCATGAACAACAAGGCATGATAAACCACTATTGTTTAAACCACTAACTTTAAATATCTATTTTTACTCTACTTAATCATATGTATGCAGTATAGGGGCGCATCTGAGGTCATTGCCTATAAGGGGCCAGAAGAGGACAAGGTCCCTGGATCTGGGGCTGCAGGTGGTTGTAAGCCATTTGGCATGAGTGCTGGGAACAACACTTGGGTCCTCTTAAAGGGTAGCACATACTCTTAGCTGTTGAGCTATTTCTCTAGTCTTTGATTAAGCCATTAACTTTTGTTTAATTTGCTTAGTAGAAGTGAATAGCTAATAGGGCCTATTATTTCTGGTTGGGTGTTTCTCCTAATTCTGTGAGTTCTCTTGTCAAGCAAGAAAAACAGAAATTGGTGGTAGTTCTTGTGTCCAGGCTGGCTTTGAGCAGGAAGAACAGATCTTGGAGCATATACAATGAGGCCAATGATATTTACTTCACAGGCCACCTCCAACAACACAGCAACAGTATGAAAGGCTTTTCAGAGCAGGAAGGAGAAATGAACCCAGGCAAGCAGGAAGGCCAGGTCAGCACTGCAGACAGCGCCAGCACTCAGGCAGATAGGGCACCAGACACTGGGAATCCACATGAATCCGCAGGCAACTGTGCCCCAGGGTAATAACTAGCAGTGTGCCAAAAGAATTGCATTTGCTTCATGGCTTCTCATTTGCCATGGGCACTCTCCTGTCACAACTTGTATGGATTGAGTTTCAGTCGGCAAAGAAACTGGAAATAAGAAGTGATAGAAGTCAAGATAGAATATTGAGATTTAGTGGCAAATGCCAGGGGTGGGGAGCTCAGGGCTGTGATAGCACATTGGACATGTAAGGTCTGGGCCACGGTCCTCAAAGCCCCTTGAGGGCATGGCTCTAGCTTTGTACCTAAGGTGCTGGGCAGTATTACTGAAACTGTATCAACGTTCATAGATTTGTTTCTCCATTAAGACAAGAGTTTCTGGTGCCTCCTACACCATAGAGACTAAAGGTGCTCTATCTGAAGTCAGCATTCTTGGGATTCCTAGCAGTAGAAACATTCTTCGAAATGTCTGTGAGGAGAAACAGCTAAGACATGCTCTGTAAGCAAAGACCAATCTGGGTTGGGACCATGGAGAATTGTGACCAGGACTTCCCATATCCTGAGAAACCTCCTGGTCTCCACCGATTCTGTATCCACTATGGAGACAAAAGTTGAGAATATTTGTCCTATCTCTCTATCACTGCTGTAACAGATGGCCACAAACACAGTGAGTTAGCAGAGGGGAGAATGGCAGCCACTAGGGTTAGAGGTGGGAGAGGGAGGCAGGGGAGGGCGAAATGGTACTGGCTTCAGTTATATAGGAGAAACAGGTCCTGAGGTGCTGTCTACAGTAGTGGCTTAACAGACAGTGCTATATTGCATACTTGAAACATGAGAAGTTGTAGATCATAAGTGTTCACATCATGTCTAAACAGACAAGAATATGATAATCACATCCGGTAATGCCTGTGCTAATTGGTTTGGCTGCGCTCTTCGCACACTATAAACGTAGCCCAAAACATTAAGCATACATCTTAAATCTATACAACTCTTCACTTTTCAAATATGCCTCCATAAAAATGGAAAATGAGAAATTGAGAAGTCTGGATTTTTGTCTTATTTGTGTTTTTTTTTTTTTTCTGCCAAGGCAAATGTATTTCTGAACCAAAAGGTAAAAAATGAAAATTTAAAAGGAGTAATTCACACTTCCTTCCTGGGCTAAAACCATACAGATTTATTGTCTTACTGTCTGGAAATCAGAGGTTCTGAAGGTAAAGATGCTAGCTGGGCTGCACTCCCCTTAGTGTGTCTAGGGACTAATCTAGTCCTTGCCTTTTCCAATCTTGGAAGGCTACCAGTAGTTCCTATCTCAGGACCCTTCCTCCACCTTCAAGGCTGGCAAGTAGACTCTGTCCCACTTGGTTCTTTCAGCTCACTCATTGTAGTGGAGCCATAGTGATTTCAGCCAGTACTTTAACTGAAGTCACTAAATCCAGCTTCTAGAAGCAGAGTCCAGTCAATTGTTAAAATTGTCTTTCTCTACCTGTTTGCTGGGCAATTGCTTCATGTTCTGGAATTGGCCAGTGAATAATTGGCTAGGTACCACTTTTTCTTCTTTTCCTTTCTTTTTGTGTGTGTTTGCATAAGTATGGTTGGTGTATCTGTGTGTAATCTATGTACACATGGGTGTGCAGGTATGTGCCTGTGTGTGCAGGTGTGTGGCTGTGCATGTAAATGTGGGGTCCAGAGGAGGCTACTGAGTGTCTTGTTCCTCTTAATCTATTTCTTTGAGACAGGGTCTCTCACTGAATATGAAGCTGTGCTGTTAGCCTGTAAGCCCCGGAAATTCTCCTGTCCATGTTCCTCACAACCCTGGGGTTTCGGTGAACAAGCCAATTGTAATGTTTTCCCCCACTATTGTGTTACATTTTACATGGGCTTGTATCTGAAACAAAGCAGCAATAGGAGGAGGGAGAAGTTTGGGGTTGGGGCAGAGAGAGGCAGAGGGAATGACTGAATAACAGACATACCCTGTGCTGTTTGGAATTTAGAGACTCGTGTCCCTAGCTTCTCATCAGAGAGAAGGGTTTTTCTTTAAGTGCCTTGTGGTTCCTACTGTCACCTCCAGGCAGGACTCTAAGTTTCCTCCTGTCACTCTAAATGGAGGAATGGTTTCTTCCAGAGCTTCTCCTTTGGGCACCCATTCTGTGGTTCTGGACATTGCTGTCTTGGAGTGTGTTCTGGAGATGTAGGAGAGAAAGATGCAAGAACTCGTGGCTATGTGAGCTGTTCTTCCAGTTTGAATCCCACCTTCAATTTGCCTGCTTTCTTATCTCCAGTCTGCATGTGTTTACATTGTGATTCTGTCCAGGTTTTTAGTTATAATTAGCCAGAGAGAAATAGCCTAATATGTACATATATTATCACCAGAAGCTGAAAGAATTACCTTATTTCAGGGACTCTGAGAGGAGAAAATACCAGCTTCCATGGTTTGGAGATAAGGGAAGAGAAATGGATCCAATGGACCTACAAGGGGTGAAGTCACCCATAGTGTTTGGGTGGGAATTAGAAAGTGAGACTGATAGCTGAGTTTCTCTTGTGGACCATGCAAGGATGCAGGGTGCAAATGGTCACAGCCTCTCAGCAAAACTTAGCCTGCAGGTGAGCGCCTGACTCTGACTCCTGGATCACTGTTTTCTTCCAGCATCTAAGAAACAGCTTTCTATGGTAAAGAATTCTCTGCGGTGGGTACCAGAGGCTGAACAAAAGCCTTAAGGGTTGAGATGATGTATTTGATTTAATATCAAGTGGGAAAAATAGGAAATAAGAGAAAGATGATTGTAATCATGTTTTATATATTCTGTGTTTGTAAGTGGATTAATAACAGGCAGGAAATGGACAGGGCTATGTAAAAAATAAAATGATAAAGCGTGTGAGATGATCAGTTTTATTATGAGATTCATTTTTCAAAAAATGCCCTTAGTGTGGCTTCATTACAATTTCAAAAATAGGAACAAGCAAAAATAGTCACTGGCCTCTGGCCTCATGGTCACAACGGTCCTGGCTCTGCTCTGTCCCTTGCCTGGGAAGACATTCCTCTTTCTCAGCTGCCACCCCAACTCTTTATGCTACATGTCCCCATACCACTGTTCCCCCATACTGATGGTACTGCACCTCACCACTGGTGCTTTGACTTTCCATCTTCTCTGTGAAACATGAGTGTGTAGGTCAGGGCTGGACATTTCCTTGCCCATAGATCCACCTTCAGTACCCTGCCAAGACAGGCTAGGTACTGACTAATAAATATTTATTGGCAGAATACTTAAATCGCCAAGTGAATGACAGCTTTCAAATGTTAGGATTTCTGCTTTATAATTTCTTTGGCTCACTTTGTGATGGGCACTTGTCGAATCCGTGTGTTACTTTCTCTCTATACTTAAACACACTATTCAAACCAATGCAGGATGGCATGGTGCCCTGAGCTGGGAATGCACCCATGGAGAAGCTGATACAGAGTGTTCAACAGGGAAGGGAAAATCAGAACTCGGGTTTTGGTTAAGGTTACCCTTGTCTAGAACAGTCAGGAAAACAGCAGTGCTGCCTGGTCTGGGGACTTAGCCCATCTGGGTACTATGCCTTCTGAGGCATCCTTAAACATGCCAATGCCAGTTTAAATACCTGCCATATGCTTATGACATTTGTCATAGGTATTTTTTTTGGAGGCAGAAGAAGGGACTCAGCCAAATGATGAACCACACATGATGATGGCAAGATGTAAGTTGCTCCAACCAGACACCCACTCATCACCCTATTCTAGAACCGACTCTGACTACCTTGACAACTGTTGAGGAGGTGATTCTCCCAGCCTTCACCTGAGCACTATGAGTGATGGCGAGTGTCTTTCCAGGCATCTTTTGACCTCTGAAGATGAATCTCCTTCATATTGCAAACATGAGGCTCAGGAGCAGAGACTGTCATGCCTGCATCCAGGCAGGCATTACCAATCAATCCCAGTGTTCCTTCCCATCAAACCTAGGTTTAGTCTCAGAGTCATTCTCAGGGTTTAGAGCTCAACTTGCAGTCTCTGCCCTCTAGTTGCTAGAAAGTTCATTCTCATATTATTTATTGATCTTCTGTTGTGCTCTCTGTAACAGTATGATCTAATGACAGCCTCAGACCTGGCAGCCTTGGGCACTGGGGACAAAGCTTGTCTTGGTAGGATCAGCAGCATGGTGGGTTGGTATGAGGTGTTCCTAAGCCTCAGGTCCACAGGGCAGAGGCAGATCAGCAACAGGCATTTGTTAGTGTGGATAAAGGATCTTCCCACAGAAGTCAGAAAGCCTCCATGCAGGACCAAGGTCCTGATCCCTGGAGGCTGGAGGCCAAGGGCAGGTCAGGGTTGCTTAGCAACATCACAGCTGGGACAAGCCCTAGACTACTGTTCCCTTTACAATGCGTGTTCATCAGATCAGAAGGCTTTACTTTGAGTAGGCAATCTGATTCCCAATTTTATTTGAAAACTATGTGTTTAGTCACGAAGAAGGCGGCCTTTAGTCTATATGGGATGCTGAGTGTACCAGACCTGAGGAATGCTTCCCAGGGAGTTTGGAAGGGGCAGCTATGAAGACATGGCTGTGAGGCCTGATTCACACAGGCTTCTTTCTAATATCTCAGTATGAGAGTCTCATATGGCTTCCATCAGCTGAAACCTTCTAAGTTTTGGGAAGGCCTTAGGCTACTGCAGTGAGAACACACATTTAGGTGTTTGGTTTTGGCCTTGGCTGTCCAGTGTGGATGACAGATCTGTCTCAGGCTGGCCATTAGCCTTTTCCTCTGCCACGGTTGAGTCAGTCTTCACCTCTGGGGGATGAGTCTTGTTCCTCTTTGCAAAGGACTGGCTGATTTCTGCATGGGTTCTGTTCTTGGTTTCAGGGAGGACAAAATAGAAGTAGACAGCCCCTGCGATACACACTGTGCCAAAGACAAGGAAGCAGTAGGAGTCCAGGCTTTTCTGTGGAAAGGTAGAGACAAAAACAGTCAATAAGCAGTCAGCAAATGAGCTGGCTGACTGCAAAGCCACATTGCAAGATTCTCCTCAGCAACTAGCACTCACACACCAGCAGTTGTGGATAAAACCCCACAGTGGTGGCTGCTGCTGCTGCTGCTGCTGCAAGCAGCAGGTGGAGCTACATGATGCTTGAGCCAGTCACAAAGGACATGGGAATAACTCCGTTACCACCATGATCAAGATGAGAAAAACATCAGTCTTGATTGCTCTGTATTTTTCCTCCAAAGTAAGCATTTAAAAACTGACCATTAAGAAAGGAAAATGTAATCCTTGATGAATATTATCTTAGGTTCATTTTTATCACTATCACACTCTTCCCATGATACACAAGAAAACTGTAAACCCCCAGTTTGCAAGAAAAACATGTATCACAGTATCAAGATCTACCTCACGAACTGGCACAGTCTTGCAAAAAAAAGAAAGAAAAGAAAAGAAAAAAGAACAGAAGATAGATGCTGGGTGTAGTCACTATTGCTTGTGCCCTTATTAGACCTCAATGAGATGCTGGCCTTCCCAAAGACTCTTGAGCCTCTGTGGCCCCTGGTGTGGTGCTTGGCTCCTGGGCTAGAGAGATGGCTCCTGAGCAAGAACCAGGAGCCAAGTTTGAATTCTTAGCACCCATGGAAAAAGCCAGGTGTGCTTGTACATCACACTTGCCTATGACCCCAGAACTGGGGGTTGGGGCTGGGGCAGAAGGATTCCTGCAACTTGCTGGCTGCTAAGCAGATACCTGTAATCTCAGGAGTAGAAGCAGGAGGACCCTAAGTTCATGGTCATCCTTGACTTCACGGGTAATTCAAACCAACTTTTGGATATATGAGAGCTTGTCTCCTTAACCCTCAAAGGTTTTCCTGGTTAAAGCTGCCAGGCTTGACTGCTTCATATTACAGACACCATCAATCAAAGACAAGGTGACAATGTTTTTGAGTGACATTTCCCAAGAAGTAATGGCAAGGTTTTCAACAACTCCATTTAATTTCTGACTGAAAAGCATGGTTTTGGAGCTCACAGTGCTTAAATGTCTAGGTACTCATGAATTCCAGATCCTCCAGTCAAACATATTTTGACTCATGGTGCCTCAGCAGTTGTAAAACAAGGACAATAGCAGGTTTGTAGGGTTGTTATAAAGAATAATAGAAACATCCATCTCAAAGCACTGTGGGTGGTGAAGGGTGCCTTGCTGTGAGAAAGGTGTTTGTCCACAGAGTCTGTGAGCCATGAAAAGGAAGGAGGAGTCAGGGTTTCTGTTGTCAGAGAGGCTGTGCCTCGCAGATGAGCCACTTAAGGCAGAATTTCAAACCACCAAGTGTTAAGTTTCCTTATTCGAAACGTGGTGATGTTTGCCCTCATGTTGTTTTGTGATGAAATGGAATGCATTTCACAGTCCGAACTTCTGCCTTCATGCTGACTCTACACCTGAGCTGTTGGAAAGAAAGTAGAGTCCTGCAGTTTGCTGCTGCTATGGGGCCCCAGCTCTCTGAAGACTGAAGCCAACCAAGACCCCTACTGCCAGGACGGATCCTCTAGCCATCTTCACTCACATCTGCTCCAACAGGAAGTCATGCTGAGCCCACCTTGAGATACAGCCTGCATCTGACACTCGTCACCTCTTTGAAGGTTAGTTACTGTATGGTTGGAGGTCACCATGATGCTCTACCTGGGTCATTGAATAGCTTCTCCTCTGAGTTCCCCACATCTCTACTAGTGCCCTGGATTATTCTCAGGGAAGAAGCCTGCAGGACTCTGTGGAGCAAAGGGCAGCCTGTCGCTCTTCTGTTCAAAATCCACAATCATGTCCAAAGTCACTCTAAGGGAAGCCAAACCCCTGCCCATTGCTGACCTCAAGCCCTATTGCTTCTCCGAGGTCATTTCTTTTTTCTCGGTTCCAACTTTACCTTCCTGATGGTTGTCCCTAATATCATGCCCCAGGGTCTTTGCACATGCCATCATCTGTCCCTCTAGCACAACTGTCAAGGACACCTGCACAGAATGCTTTCTCACTTTTATCATTGCTGCCTACAGGTCCTTCCTAGCTCCTGTTTCGAGAGAGTGCCTCCCAGTCCTGATTCACTGTTCTCTGATTGCACATCATTATGCAGCATAAAGCATAGAACAGCCTGCTAATTCATTCTCTCCCCACCGAGGGCAAGCTATGTGAGGGTAGGTATTGCTGGATAGACAGAGACCAGCAGTGGATGTTTACTGAGAACAAGGGTGTCCTGAGGCTCTCTACTCTAACTCCTGGACTGCCTGGGATGTCTTCACCACCCTCTGAGCTGCTATGTGCTTGTCTTCATTTCCCACAGGACAACATGAGGTCACTTGGATTAGTCTGTTTCACAGACATCAGTTAACCCACAGTGCCAGCAACATCTGGGGTAAGGACACTTGTCCCCTTCTTTGTGAGTCTCAGGGGCAAAAGTGTAGAAAAGTAGGGTGAGAGACTCCATCTCTTGGGCACTGAGTCTATGGGAGGAACCCCAGATAAAAAGTGATGTTGGGTGCCTGATACAGTTCACCAAACCAATGTGCTGGGGCTGAACCCACAATGAGGTGAGGCCTTTATGGTGTGATTAAACCACGAGGGTGGATCCATCACACATGGTATCCGAAACCTCATAATGGGATGAAGGGAACTAGGTAGACTCCTCTCACCCTTCTATCTTCTTCCACATGAGAAGACACTGAGGGCTCCATCTTGGAAGCAGAGAAAAACCTCCACCAGATCCGCCAATCCCTTGATCTTGGACTTCCAACCTCATAGAGATAACCCTGCGGCATTTCATGATTGCAGCATATAGCTGGGATAGCCCTTCTCCCTGAGGGTACTGGCTTAGAGGGGGTACAGAGCTAAGGCAAATGTGCCTCCTCACCACCTCTCTTCCCTTGTTCTGGAAGTCATAGTACCAATCACTGACTCTGCAGAGGGAGGGTGTTACAAGGCCAGGTTAGGGAAGGAGTGAAAGAAAGGTGTTGAGAGCCAAAGATCTCAGGGCTTGGCATGAGATCCTAGGTCATTCTTGGCCAGCCACATAGTTGTATATTAACCTTTACATAGCAGCTCCTTAGAACCTCAGCTCAAGAAAAGAAACAACTTGACCCAGTCCTCCACCCACAGGCTCAGTCATCTAGGCAACCCTTCCTGGACCCCTTACTCATGAACTCTTTATCATGCCAAACATCCTCTTTGGGGCTTCCTAATATTCTGCCTACACTAACACCTAGTGCACAAACAACCCATTCTACCCCTCCCCATATCCTGCTCTACTATATAAGCTATAAGCTATATAAGCTAGCCTGAGAAAAATAAAGTTTGCCACTTGATCAGATCCTGTCTTGTGGTTGTTCTTTCTGTGTCTCTTGTCCCGATTCACTATCTCCAACTCTCTTGCCCCAGGTTGATGTCCTGCAGGTCAGGACAGAAAGGAGCTTATGCAAATGAGGATTTACAGAGCCAGTTACAGAGCCAGATCTTTGGGGCCATTCACTGGCCTGTTTAGTTCCTCTTGACAGATGAGAAAAGTCAAGCTGGCGTCAGGTTGTCACTGGAGTCCTTAGGGTCAGAGACTGGTCCCTGGCAGCTCTGAATACCTAGGCTCAGCCACCATCCTCAAGATACAACCCAGAGACAAGTGAAGGTTAAAAACAGAGGGAGGAGATGTGTCAAAGTGGCCACATGGGGAAAAGGGACAAATAATGATGTCCAGGAGCCACAAGCCAATCTTTGAGGTCTTGACATGAGGCTTAGGTTCATTAAAAGGCAAGAGGTGTGCATAATTAGGCAGTCCTGGTCAAGGTGGAGCCCCACCCTTCCCTGATCCATTTCTCCTGGTCTGGTAAATTGCCAGACCTCAGTGAAATCTCCTTCCCTGGAACCAGAACCTCCTCTTACTGGCACCATGGTGTTAGCCTCTCCCTCCCCGAATCATGAGATTCCTTGCAGTACATTGTTTCAGTGGTGCCAATGGGTGGGGCATATGTGTCTCTCTTTTAGGCTATCTTCACTCCTGCCAATTCATGCTATTGGCCAAGTTCATGCTGCTGGGAGGAGACAGGGCTGGATTGAAACTCAGCACCATGTTCCTCTCCAAAGCTTCCTTGCCTCTTGCTGGACCCTGGCTTGGACTGAGGACCTGACAAAGTTAATGCTACCAATTAGCAACCTCTCTCCATTTGCTTCCTGTCCTGGGATTGCTGACTAGCTCTGTTCACCTCAATCCTGCAGTGTGATCTTACAGGTGAGGTGGCTAGGGGCAGAAACTGGGCTGAGCATCAGTTGAGAAGCAAGCTCATGGAATCTATGGATGGGGTGGATCCTCACTTGGGGTGGATACTCGTTCACAATCACCCATCTTCAGATCCCTGTTTCAGCTCTCAAGGGTCCTGCTAGTCACAGTCACATTGCTTCTGAAACTACAACTTTTATGTCATTAGACAGCCATTAAAGTGGTCCAGATTTTTGTTTCAGAGATGAAAATTTCTTCTCACAATACAGTAGAATGTATTATGCTAAAAATACAAGGCAATTTTGGCAAAATACTACTCTTACTTCCTCTTAGGAAAAGGTTCTTGAGATTAAAGAAAAAAAAAATCTCAGCTTTTTCCCTGCTACTGCTCTGAATCAGAACTGTGAGGGGTAATTCTTCCCAGAGCAAGGAAATGAGAAGTACACACTGGAAGTTCATACTTCAGCTCCCACAGAGTGGACCTATGGATGATTTTGGAGTGGTGTGGTTGGATGGGCTCAGAAGAGGGGCATTCATCAACAAATACATGCCAGCAAAAACCCAGCATGCTCTGGAGGAGATGAAATTATGACCTAATGAAATTCTGGGTTAAGTTTAGAAGTAGCTATCGAAGCATTTATCAAAGCAAAAAGGTGCTCTGAGTTGGAATGACTCATTTCTGCCATGATATTCTACACGTTTGCAGAGAAGTGGCCA